AGCCAATTCTTCTTTAAGCCAATTCTCCTCTTCTTTAATCATTAGATCACGGGCCACTTCCTATTTTCATGCTATTCTACTCTGCTGTCTTTGCTATAGCACAAGCTCACCACGTAACATACCAAAACCTTCCATTGTACTATGGGAAAAACAAAGAAAATCTAGGCTAAGCATACATTTCATAGAATGATACCCTATAGCTAAATCACCGGATTAAACCCAGATAAAATAATCCTATTAAGAACAGTAAAATATTTAGATTTCACTTATCAATGAGAAAACCAAGCATGCTTGTAGTAGTTATTAACAAAATGTGCCTATTAGTAGATTATTATTTTTTCCTCCTACAGGACATTTAATAAGTTTAAATTTTAAAGTTATATTCAGAGAGGCTAAAGGTTTACTCAAGACTGCACTGTTAATCAATGATGAAAAGAAAAAGAACGAGTTTCTTGTTTAAGCTTCCAGTTCTCTTCTTTGTCTTTGAGTAGCTCTGCCCCTTTGAGAATACAGAGCTAAGAGACCATGAGTAGGACAGAAGTGATATTGTTTAAATATGATATTGTTTAAAATATGATAATTAAAAGTTCACTGAAGGCACCTTGAGGAGTGAAAAACTAAGGCATATAATTATAATTCAAAATGACAAAAATAGTTTAGGATTTATTGTGGGTAATGAGAATTCATCCTCCCATATTGAGGAGTACCAATACAGAAAAGTCAGAATTTGATATGTGAAAACACTATCTTACAATAACATAAATTCTCCTGATTTCTCTTGTCACATCCAAATTCAAAGGTAATTTGTAACACATCTCATGTCTTTGGAGTATACCCCTTGCCCTGTCTCCATCCCACCCCTTACCACATTTAATCTGTGAGTCTTGAGAGAGTAACTCCTAATTCAGGAGACCATTGTGCCCATTGGAACAATCCCTATCAGATTATCTGTCTCACTCAAGAGCTAAGTGATCTGTGCCTTTATCATCAAAGTTCTTTGAGCCTCAAATTCCCTGTCTGTAAAAGGCACATAATATTTAACTTATCTACTTGCTAAAATTAAGTGACAGTACATTTAGTCCTCTGCCAAGCTTAAAGTACGAATGAAAGTATGGACTCATGCTATAGTGGAAGCACAATGTCCCCAAATAATTCACTTTTTGGTCTGCTAATAAGACCTAAAATATCCGTCATTATATTCATCCCTTTGACCCAAGGAGGTGAGTAACAGACGTTACAGTATAAATATGTCATGAAATAATTATTGTAATAGTCTACCAAGGTACTCAGGTGGGAAGGTCACTATGGAACACTTGTTATTGATAGTAACAAAAAGAAACAAACTGCTGATTCATGCAACAACGTGAATGAGCCTCATAAATACTACCCTGCCTTAATGAAGTCAGATAGATACAAAACAAAGTTCATAACGTATGATTGGATTTTTGTGAAATTCTAGAATATACACAGGAAGGTACAAGGGACATTTTCTGGAGTAGTGGAAATGTTCTGTGTCTTTGAAATGGCGTGGGTTACACTAATACCTGGATTGTCCAAAACTGGTTTAAAGGAACCTTTAAGATCTGAGCATTTTACTATATGTAAATTATATTTCAATTAAAAGACCATCTAATGTTATTGTGATTTTTAAAATATGTCTTATATGTTATGAGAACTGAAGTGTTCTCAGTGAAAATATATATGTAAAGCTTGAAACTAGTGAAAAACAAGAAGGGAGGTGGGCAGGTGGATGAAACATGATCAGCCAGGGATTGAAAAACTGAAAATTAGGTGATATTCCCGTGGGAGTCCTTTAATCTCCCTACTTCTGTATGTGTTCGAATATTTTCCATGAAGGAAAGTGGAAGGGAGGGCGTATCTGGGTTTATGTCCCCATCTGCAAAATAGAAAAGTAGAAATCAGAGAACAGAACTTGTAGGTCTCAAAGCCAGACACAAACCAGTCCCCAGGGGGCACCTTCCTTCTCTGGTGCCAAAAGATGCGCGAAGCAGGAGCCACTGCGTTATTAAAAGGCTGCTTTTCATAAGGGCAGCCCAAGTGTGCAAGGGCGTGTTAAGCTGTAAGTATTTGTGACATTGCTTCTCTTTTCTACTAGTTTCTTTTATACACACTTTTCTATATAATCATTGGCTCCCGTTCCCTGTGTTTCACAAGGTTGTTTTATAGACTTAAATTGGATTTTACCCAAATTTCAGAACCCAAATACGTGAAAAGGATCAGAGGAAGCATCATTTTCGGCAAAAATAAAATGAACCCCAAATAATAAACACGCAGCAACCACTTGTTTTTCTTTCCAGCGCTACACTCATCTTCCCAGCCCAGGCGCAGAGTAAGGCAATCTGCTCGTGGGAGGAGCTTGGTCTCCTGTCTCGTGTGATCCGGGATCAGCCGTCTGTCTTCTCCCGCGGCTCCAAAAGAGGTGAAAATGTATTAAGCCATGCAAAAACTGTCTTAAGTTCACCGGTGTCTGTGCGTGTGGCGGGGAGAAGGAACCGGGGTGTCAGCTCAGAGCGCAACGCCGGTCCTGTGCCAGAAAGGTGAGTGGAGTGGTGCATAGAACGTCCCTCTCTGATGGAGCTGAAGAAATTGGATGTGACATCCAGGAGCGTAGATCACGCCGGATTTGTCTCCCAGACCTCCTACTTGGGTCTGGAAAGTAAGTGCCATTTCGAGAGAGCAGAGCCTCCTGCCTGCTGTTTTAGACGGTCATATTTATTCCTTGTTCGCCGATGGGAAAATCAGAGTCTGGCAGCCGCTGATTGGCGGAAAAGGAAATGGTGATAGTGGGGTGGGAAGAGGATTTGCTGAGCCTCCCCCCGCCTCTGCGACCTGTGACTCTTCCTCACGAGTCTCTTCTCCACCCGCGGGACCCTTTCGGGCTGGTCCTAGATTGAGAACACGCGAAAATCTCCAGGCTATTTGACTAAAGCCACCCTTCACGTTGTGCCCCGGGACCACTTATCGAATTGCTGCGATCCGAGGGAAACGTGCTCTCGGCGGTGCCCCCCGAACCCCCTTCCTGAGCAGCCCGTCTCCTTCCCCAGCTCCCCCCAGGGCCAGGATCTGCCTTTGGGGTGGATCCCCGAGGCCTCCAGCACCCCCAGGTTGACTCCGACGAGGGGGTCCCGTTGAGGAACCAGAGGGAAGGTAGATGCCGGAAAGGAGGGGGATGGGAAGACAGAGGCATCACCCAAGCCTGCCGGCTCCCGGGTGTCGCAGGAGTCCCGGTGACCCCAAACCTGAGCTGAGGCACTGAGCACCACACCTTCCTGCCTCCCGGGCCAGATGGGCGGCTGCAGGTGGTGGCACTACCGGTCCCCACCCCCACCCATCCGCAGCCGCGAGAAGGACCGAAGTGCACGCGGCAGGGGAAGCAGGGAATCTGAGCTAGGGGCGGGCAAAGGCGCTGACAAATCAGCGGCGGGGGCGGCGAGTGGAGGGAGGGAGGAGCACTGGGCGGAGGAGCCAGAGCGCGGTCAGGAAACGCGCCCAGAGAGCGCGGTGAGCCGCCGAGCGCCGCGCCGCCGAAGCCAGGTGCGTGCGAGCTTTAGGGGACCCGGGTCCAGCGCGCCTTCTGCATCTTCGCGCTCCCTCCCCGCGGGCCCTTCCAACCCCGGGTCTCTCTTGGATCCTTTCGTGCGGGGGACGGGGAGTGGCAATTCGACGACAGGTTCGCGGGTTCGCCTCCCACGCCACCAGCCTCCAGTCGGCGGGTTGTGCTGCCAGCAGCCTCCTCCGGGGACCATCCCTCTCCTGGTTCCGCCTCCGCCCTTGCTCTGCGCTCCTTTCTCTCCCTCTTTCTATTCGAGTAATATTTGGGAATCGTTTAAATCTTTTTAAGAGAGGGGAGGAATCGGAGTTCTGGAGAAGCAGAGGCATTCAGGTGAGTGCTGGTGGATCTAAATGGACGTCTCTGGAAATGCCGGGGAAACCTGGGTGGGAAAGGAGGCAGCACCGACGCTGGGAGGGGGTTCGTGCCGCGGGGGCGGGGGGACCCACGGTGCCAAGTCTACGCGTACTTGTCCCTGCGCTGAGCTTGGGGAAAGTAAGTTGACCCGGCCTTCCTCCCGCTCCCCGCTTTCCCCAGCTGCCCTCCCCACAGGCTGGGCGGTGAGGCTGCTCCCCCGGGATCCGCTTTTCCTTCACGCTGCCTGAGCATCCAACTTTTGTTTCTCCCTCACCTTCCTTCCACCCCTCTGACCATTTTCTCTGTGGAGTAAACAAGCTGCATTTGGCGAATAATTAAATGGGAGCGCGGGGAGGGCGAGTCAACAGGTGGCAAAGGGTTAACTAGCGCGAGCAGCTCCGTTAGGATTGGGGCTGAGAACGCCCCTCGGGGGGCTGGCGCAGCACCCAGAGGCTGGTCCGCGGTGCGAGCCAACAGCTGCTGGGGTTAGATAGCCGTGCGGGAGGGAGGTGGCGGGGATGGGCTGGCGGATTAGAACGCTCACCCCGGGGTTCTCTTTAACCTGAGGCTCAGCCACACCCCGGTGACAAGTTCTCCTCCCACCCCTTCCCCAAATCAGCCCGGTAGCCTTCTCTCGGGGTGAGTTTCAAGGATGCTCCTGGCCCTGAGCCCCAGCTCCCTTTCTTTTCCTTTGGTTTTTCTTCTGCGCCTGCTTCCAACTTATGCTGTCACCCTTTGGAAACTGGGAAGCTGAACGAGAAGAGAAGTCTCTTTTCGTGCAACTTCACTTCGGAAATGCAGTAAGAACAGCTCAGATGATTCATCCTAATCCCTGTTTAGGCAGCGAGACTTTTACTAGCCAAGATGGATGGGAGATGCTACATTTTTAATGCCAAAGCTAAAAAAAGGCTGTTTTGCCCAATGGTTGAAATGAGTCTCGCAATGCTTAAAAAAGTCTCACATTTTTTTTTGGGGGGGGGGTGTTCTACTGAATTTACAGTGGTTTTTAAATGGAGTGGTTTTAATTTTATTTATTTTACCCAAAGTTCTCATTCAAAGTGTACTTTATGCTTTCCAGTGTGGTGTAAAGGAATTCATTAGCCATGGATATATTCAAGAAAGGACTTTCAAAGGCCAAGGAGGGAGTCGTGGCTGCCGCTGAAAAAACCAAGCAGGGTGTGGCAGAAGCAGCGGGAAAGACAAAAGAGGGTGTCCTCTATGTAGGTAGGTGAACCCCGAGTGTCACTTTCATTTCTATTCAGGACTGGTGGGTAGAATAACCAACATTCTAAATGCTGGTAGTTCTGCCTTGATTCCTTTTTGCGTCACTGTTTGGCAAAGGATAGACTGAGTAACAGGTATGTATAGGGGGTGAATGTGAAGATGTATATTCGAGCTAATCATAAGAAGTGGGGCTACATGTGTGCTTTGGAGACTATTTAATTTTGCAATAATATTTAGGACTTTTTTCATTTATTTTATTTTATTTATTTTTTAAATTTTGGATTAATACGAAAGTACTTACGATTAGGGTCCAGCGTTTGCATTTGTAAAGTCAAGTTCCCACCTAACAGGTACAATGTAGGAGCTATGGCACCCCTCCCGGATGAAGGATTCATTGTTTATGTCTTTTTAATGAATGTTTCTGTACCCAGGTGACTGTGTTTCAGAGGAATATTTTAAAACTCACAGTCTTTCCAAAAATAAGCAGAAATATTCTTAAGAATCAAAATCATTCATAGGCCTTTGATATCTACTATCATTGTTCATAATATGTGGTAATTTTAATGTGTTCTGATTTTAAAGTAAGACTTGATACGGCCCTGTAATATGGGAAAGGAAACCTATTGTGGCCCTAAAGTGGAAAGAACAGATGCGTCTTTGATGAACTACTTGGATCACTTGGTTATTGTGGACATTGGGGATTAAGTGCTGAAGAAAGTACTCGATGGCTACTACTAGTATCTTAGAAATGTTATATAGTTCATCTATCAAATGACACATATACTAAAAGAATAAAGAATTTGGTGCTTATCACTTTACTTGTTCCTAAATTCCCACCTTGGATAATACACAAAGGTTCTTTTCTGTATCTTGAAGTGTTCAATTCTTCTGTTATATAGGATGTCATTTTACAAACCACTTCAAATTCTTTGGGGATAGAATAGATGCAAATACACACACACTCATCCACAGGCATAGACACACACACACAGAGCGCCCGTTCTTCCTCACCCTTTCTCCACTGCATGTCTGAGCTCCTCCATATTCTCTAGTGGCAACTATGGTAACAGGAGTCCCAGGATGGACCATCAGGTGGAGGGTGAGCCGGTTGGGTGGCAGAGATGATATGGGTGCTTTGCCTATTCCTATGTCTATGGCATGAAAGAAAGAGTCACTATTTCTCCTACAGGGATACAGATTAGAAGGAGAAAATTTAAACTGGGAATGATTTTTATGTATGCTTTTCGTCAAAGTTTACAGCAGATTTCTTTTTTCTCCTTCTATA